AAAATTAGCGGAATTAGTTATTTAGTAGGTTATAATTTTTTTTATAGTTATTGAGCCCAATTTCTCTTTTAATTTATGAAGTCTTGCGACTGGAATTAAAGTTTGTATATTTCTTCACACTAAGTTGTTCAACTTTCTCATTCATTATTATGCCTCAGAAATCAAATGCATCAATGCTAGATCTAAAGTTACGACTTACGAGACTGCAATAAATTTAGAACTGAGGTAAGAAATCATGCCATGTATTGTAAGGGATAATAAATTGCCATACTTTATTTAATTAGAGAACTACCTAGCTATGCACTTCTTTTTTTTTTTTTTTGGTAAAACACTAAATTAAGTGCTTCATTTTTTTGAGCTAAATGTTTTTTCAACAAACATTGCATTATATAGTTTGAATTTGGATAGTAATGTAGCAATGATGGCAATACCACAAACCACTAAACTACATTTGTTTGTTGTAATTATATATACTCTAAAATAATAAGTGATTTTTTTACATAAATTAACAGGTTAACAAAATAAACAACACTCCGATTAAGTCTTTTATAAAAATACTAAAAGTTCATATTACTTTATTTAATTATTATTTTGTTTTGCTAAATTATTTAATTAAAATTCGTAGGTGCTTCACTCACTCTGACTTTACTTAATTTTATACAACTTGGTTAATTTATTTAAATTATCGCATTGTTGACAAAAAAATTATTATTTTTTTTAAATAGTAAATATCATTAATCATGGAATGTTTAGAAATACAAAGTAGCATTGCCTAAAATCAGAATAACTTTGGCAAAAAAAAAGAAAAACAAAGTTACAATAGATTTGGTTAAGATTTTGGTTGTGTTATCGAATCCAAAGTGTCATTAGGTCTCGCCATCGCTTTCTATGCCTTCTAGATGTGATCGTATTACGAACTTCACGATCCAAGTTCTTAAAGATCGTAAGCGAGTTGAGCCTAAGTTTGTTGTGGAGTAAGTTGTTCCGTTGTTTCCAGATATGAAAAATGGCATCACCCATAACTAGTTTCCTCAGAAGTGATGGGCTGCTATTAAGGATTGCCTAGTCCAAGATAGAAGTTCTGCCAAGTTTGTGAGTTAGTTGTGGGATGGAGACAAACGTGAGAAAATTAGCCTCCAAAGATGGTCTGAGAAACTACAAGTGATGAACAGGTGGTCCCTTGTTTCGATCGTTGTAGAGCAAAGACAACATTCCGGATTTGTGATGCACCCCAAGAGAATAGTTTTTCTCTGCTGTTGAGATGAGTGATCCACAAATTGAATGCATGTTTATCATGTTTTATTCTCACAAAAATTTCCTAGCACCAATAGTTACTTTTACTCTTGGTTCCTATTATATAATTTTCTATCGAGTAAAAATATTGAAAATGTCAATAAAGAA